AAGTTTGAAAGATCCTCGTATAATTATAGCAAATTTGAATAGAAAAAACATTTATATCGAAAAATCAAAACGTTTAGCGTCTTCTTTAGGAGAAGAGAGCTATCATTCCATACTATTATCCATCGCGAAAGATTTAAAGCAACAACTGGTCAACTATCCACTTACTATAATCTACAACCCCTTGAAATGGTGTGGTTATGCCTATAAATTATTCTTAGACGTGATAGGAGAAGAAAGCTTTCATCCGAAACGTATTGCCGAGCCTAAAAATTGCCTATTTGCCCAATACCATTCTCCTCAAACAGATGAAAGAAAACGGGAAATACTTTCGCAGTTACAAGGTTCGGACAAATCGAAAGTCCCAAGAGTTGTTTTTGCTACAGTTGCAATTGGAATGGGGGTACATATCTCCGACGTGAGACAAGTTATTCACATTGGACCTCCTCGTACTCTTGAGGCATATTACCAAGAGATCGGACGCGCAGGTAGAGACGGTGAACCAGCTCGCGCTACTTTATATTACAACGGACACGACATTGCATCAAATAAACCAGGAATGACTGATGAAATGCGTGATTTCTGTCATGAGGAAACCGTCTGTTTGCGTGATATTATATTGAAGCACTTGGGGTCTCCAATGATGACAACGTTTTCATGTGTAGAACATTGTTGTTGCACTAATTGTTCTAAAAAGTGCCAATGCACCTCATGTAAGAGCACTCAGCCGAAAATTGCAATGCAAGAGCAAGCAGTGCCGCAGTTGGAGGCGAGAAAAGCTCAACGACAACTTTCAAAGGGGCAACGTGACACCATAAACTTGGTGATGAGAGAATATAGGATGAAGTTAGCACAAGTTGGATACTGCATTAATGGGATTGATGCCAGCACTGGAGTAACCTTGGAACTCATTGATGCAATTGTGGAAAATTGTAAGTTTCTCACATCATCATCAGATCTATTTAGTTCGTATGAAATATGGGATATCAAACACGCAGAAGATTTATTTGCAATAATAGTTAATATTTGTGGGCAATAATTGGCTATAATTTACTTGTCTCAATTATTAGATGTTTATATAAGGACAGTTGATAGAGGGAGATGGTTAGTGGTTAGGGTCACAGTTGGTCTGTTGGTCTGAATTTTTTCATATTACTAGAATACATTGGTATTGAAGGAACTAGATTCTGTTTCGAAATATCACTTACTCGAACTGTCCTGACCGCGTAGCTCAGTTGGAAGAGCATTGGGCTAGTATTCCAAAGGTCGTAGGTTCGAATCCCACCGTGGCCAGGCATATTTTTCAAGCTCGCCCAGTGTGGATATACACTCAGAGCAGGGGCGTAGGAAGCGGGGGGGGCACGGGGGGCACGTGCCCCCCCAAATTTTTTTAAAGGACTAAAAGTGCCCTTTTTTGTGATAAAAAATGCCCTTTTTGTGTTGAAAATTGCCCTTTTTTGTGAGGAAAAGTGCCCCTTTTGTAGAAGCTAATGTCGCTGTAAATACTAAATTAAAACAATAGGTGCCGTTTTTGTGTGGAAATTTACAAAATTTTTTTAAAAATTAGGTCACAAACATAAATTTCGGTATGATACGACGGAAAATTCTCCTCAGGAGAAATTTCTCTCCCCCCCCGTCGACAACATTTCCGGGAAAATTTTTTTAGGTGCCCTTTCCGATAGTAATGTGCCCCTACAAGCCGGTGCCCCCCCAATCTCCAGGTGCTTCCTACGCCCCTGACTCAGAGTAACACCACAAATATCATATTCACCTGAGTACACTACATACACCAACACAGAAAAATTCATTTGGGACAGTGTTATTATTGAAGTAATTTATATTACATCAGTCTGTTGATTTATACCAGGTACATGGTCAATGTTTTTTTTTATTCTCTTATGAAAATACTTTAAGTAAATCTTCCCCTAGTACATAAGGCCATCTCCCTTTTCTCACCCACCTCTCCCACCCATTATTAATGACTGGTCCATTATATTGCATGGTGAAAGAGAATGGTGAAAGAGAAACACAATACACATACTACAATTATACAGGTGTCCCCAAAAAACCAATAACTATTGAAATCACCAATAACAATTTAATTGTTAGAATTTGAATGCCTTAGCACTCTGTTGGTTCCCACGAGTGCATAAATGATTGACATAAGTAAATTTTATGCATAAAGAAACTGTTCTTTAAATTTGCTTTAAATTCCCAAGCACAGAAAATCGTGCACTTTCCAAGGAGATGTTCTTAACTATGATTCTAATACATGCATCTTGTCAATATTTTATGCATCATTACGTTCAGCTTTTTGGTAAAGCATTCAAATTTTGACAATAAGTGATTTCAATAGTTTTCGGGTTTTTTGGGACACCCTGTATAATAAAATTACAAGTATAATATAATTAATTAGATTAGCTATTTAAGTGTAGTTTTAAAAAGTTTAGGTAAGATTTTAGGAGGATTATCATTCCAATGACATTATAATTAAGTAATCATTCTTACTATTGTTTATGGCTGAATAGAAAACAGTTTCATTGTCTACATACATTCAAATAAACTACTGAAATGGGCAATTTGTCTGCACAGTGTATTATGTTTATTCAAGATTAGACTGACAACAGTACATATAGATCACGTTTAAATATAGCAATTACAGTATATATTTACATCAGATATTAATTCAAAATATTAATAATCAGCTGAAAATCGGTGATAAAAGTCGATATTTTTCTCATAAAATAACCTCATGACTGTAACTTTTTGTGAATTTTCATATCATAGTTTATCACAACGAATAATGAGTTCTTATGATAATGATGGCAGTAATTTTTGTGATATATTTCGTACTCGGTACTTCTAAAGAAAGAGCAATGGTTCCATATATTAATTCGTATATAAAATATTAAATATCATAGGATTGTATCAAATATATTGATTAAAAAAATTAGTCAGTTTGGTTACCCACCTAATTAAATTATATTCGATGTATATCAGTTCACCTTGAAGATTCATTGAAAACAAAAGAATTCATCTTGTCCTCGCAGGGCGTTCATCACTGGCGCTCATTGATCGACGCCATGTTTTTTTTTAAATAATTATAGTTTTGTCAGACACTCCCCCCGTTCGAATCGCCTCGTGTTTAAAAGTATTGCTATATAGTTCAGTGTTTGAGACCAGCATTTACCAGGGCCTTCGCCCTCAGCAGGAGGCCCTGGGTACGAGGTTGCCATTTCTTTTCTTTGCAGCATTACAGTTGCAGGTCTAGTTAAGTCTAATATATATCTAACTATGACCAAAGTAACAACAAATTGAAAAGTTATAGAGGGCGGCATCTTTTTAGCAGCTGCTTTGCTATTTTGATTCCAATCACCAGAATCAGATTCTTCGTCCCTCCCTTTTCCTATTGTGTGCAATATCTTCTATCGTACATACAACTGGGAGAAGGAACTCAACAATTCTATCCAAGCCATCAAGGCGAGCAATCCACCTGGTCTCACAAACATTAATCAAAACTTCATGCTTGGAAGCAGGCAATAAAGACTTAACCTCCTCTTCTGTATAGATCAGTGGATTGCACAGGCATTTTAACCCGGATTTGCGTTTCCTAGGGTCCCTCTTCCGCTGAAAAATACCGTATATAAACAAAAATGGCTGATTTCGCCAAATTATTATACAAAAAAAATATGGTCAAAATTACTGAAAATTTTATTAACGATTTGGAAATTACTTGAAGAAAAACACATAAATTCACAAGTTTGGAAAAATTTGACTAGTTTCCGGAAACTAGTGGCACTAGTTTGGATCCACCCCTGCTTGGTGATGTTTACAGCTTCAAGATAGCGATCGTTTGCATCTTAGTGTCAAATATTATCAATCATTTTGAAAAACACCATATACTAAATGACTTTTAACATGGTTTTCGCAAATTACATTCATGCGAAACTCAGTTGATTGTGTCATTGATAACATTACAAAAAGAAAATGGAAGGCGTAGGGCAGACTGACGTCATTGTAATGGACTTCTCAAAAGAATTTGACAAAGTCTTGCATGAGGAATTGATATTCAAGTTTTCAAATTTTGCTATTGATCATTATACATTGGACCGGACACAAAACTTTCTTAAAAACCGACAACCATGAGTTATTTTGGAAGGAAAGAGATCAAGTTACACCCATGTTACGACGGGATTCCCTCAGGGTCCGTCCTGGGGCGAATTCTATTCTTGGCTTTCGTTAATAACTTGCGGAAGTGTATAAAGTTCAGGGTGCACTTTTTCGCTGATGACACGGTCGTTTATCTTGTTATAAATCGGAAGACGACTATATGCAACTGCAGCCGGATTTACAGAGTTTAGAAAGATGGAAGACAGACTAAAAATGGCATTTAATACAACAAAATGCAATGTTCTTTGCATTACGAGACAGGAAACACCTATTATATTCGACTACAGACAGCATAAAGCCAACAAAACAGTGGTCGTTCTAAAGTGTAATCTACGACACAGTTCCACAGCTGTGAAAGAGAGAGCACATAATGCCCCGGTACAACCAGGCCTCGAAATAACGTTCGCAACGTTTCCGATCATGGTGATCGGCAATCACGACTTTTTGCCGATCAAACAAAAATATGGCCAATCAGGAGCATTTCCTGATAATACTTGAAAAAATCTAAATATGCCAGTACTGTAAATACACAGTTGAACAGGAAGTTTAACTTTATTTCAAATTCAAGTTTAAATTAAATCTGCGACATTAATGGACTTATGTGTAAGACCGATTGCTATAGAGTATAGTCCTTCGCTCGCTTCCGTCGGAAGCCACATAAAGCAGCTGGGGCTGACAGTCTACATCCAAATGTACTAGATAAAACATTCGCATCCGATCTGTATCTGATATACAAACTGCTCCTGTTTTATCTAGTACATGTGGATGTATAGACTGTCAGCCCCAGCTGCTTTATGTGCCTTTAAGCTTGATAGTAATTTCCAGACACCTTCAACTGTGATGAGGCATGTGTGGGTAGTATTACTGGTCTGATATTTGTTGTCTTTGTAGACCTTTGTAGTATCTCTGCAATATGTGGAAGCAGCAAGCTTCATTGGATCAAACTGCGAAAAACTAGTTTTGAATTGATCATTCAACAGTCCCACTTTAATGCAAGGGTCAGTCAATACAATACAATACAATACAATAGAATACAATACAATACAATACAATACAATACAATACAATACAATACAATACAATACAATACAATACAATACAATACAATACAATACAATACAATACAATACAATACAATACAATACAATACAATACAATACAATACAATACAATACAACACAACACAACACAACACAACACAACACAACACAACACAACACAACACAACACAACACAACACAATACAATACAATACAATACAATACAATACAATACAATACAATACAATACAATAAAACTTTATTTTAACACGGTAAAATCTTCAGTACATTAATTAAATATTAAAAAAATAAATACAACTGGTTTCCAAGATTGCCGTGTGGGAGTCATTTTACAAATTATAGTAATAATTTAAGGAATTCTTAAATAGTGGTAACGAACGAAGCATTCGTATATTTTGAGGCAGGTTATTCCACAATAAGGCTCCACTATAACAAAGGCTTCGTTTTAAATAGTTAGTTCGTGGCTTAGGTAAATTTAGCTTTATTTCAGAGTCTCTTAAGTTATACCCACTGCCGCGAACCAGGGGCGGATCTAGGATTTTTCGTACGTTAGTCAAAAATTTCGTTGCTCAACATCAAAGGGGGGGTGGGGTTCTTTTAAAGGGGGGGGTCGCAAAGCGAATTAATTTGTATCCAGTTTTACGAAAAAATGTTACGTGAAAAATGACTGTTTCGCCCAATTCAGGGCTCGTCAGCATGCCTAGGAAACACATAACTCCATATTTTGTCCTTAATTTACATGAATGGTCAAAAGATTCTCAAATATAGCGATGTAGTTTTATAAAGTAAAACATTTGATTGATTGTTAATGCTCAGGAAGAGAATTTCTACGTTTAATTCACTGCTTCTCGAGTTTTATTCATAGCAGAAACATGTGCCATGAATAAGTATTCACAATAGCAACATGATCCAATTTACTTTTATTGTATACATGTTGTAGAGATCGTATTACACAAAGCCATGCCACATTGTCATGTGTTTGTAGTTTTAATATACTAGACAACTAGGCATAAATAATACAGTATTATTAAGTATCTGATCAAGATATAAAGCCCACATTCCACAAGAGGCATAAACAAAGTATAAACAAACTGAAACTGCTTGTATTAAGCCGCAGTATTATGTAAATTGACCGAAATATTATGTAAATTTCATCTCTTACTACGTACAGACGCGCAACCACTACAGCCTACAACAGCTATGATGCTATATCAAGTTAAAATAGAATATGTTTACCTTAAGGCCGTACAGAACTTTTTCGTTTTCTCTCGAACGTACTTCGGGATGTAAGATTCCGCACCAAAATTTCGCGGTGCGACGAAGAAGCTTGTGTTTCTCACAGCGCTCAATAAGTCTTTAGAACGCTTCGGTTACATATCTTTAACATATTGTTAAGATATTGTCGATCATCTTTCTCTAAAGCAGCCTTTGCGGTTTCGTAAATACCAATAGACATGGATAGTATTAGTTTAGAACTTCTGATAAATTTTCCGATTGCCATAAAACGCACATGCTATAAAATCGGCGGGTACGCGTATAATAATAAGAGACGAAATTTACATAATATTTCAGTCAATTTTACATAAATACTGCTGCTTGATCAGAAAGATCCTGCAACGTCATAGACCTTTCCGTGCATACTATTAGCCTGAACAGTATGATCGATCAAAAAAATCCAGCCAACGGGAATTGAGGATTTTTTTTGAATTAGCCAATCGGATAGCCTGTATTCGAGCCCCTGCAGAACTCCCCACAGATCGCGCAAAAATCGAGATAGCCAATCAGATGGCTGGAATCTGACTCAGAGCGTGCAAAACTCATGCGTAAGACCGCTTTTCTGCGCGTTCATGTTCGAAGGCCTTGCTACTGGATGATATCTTAGAACTGGACTGTTAAACTTTCAATACAATACACTGCGCGAAGTTTGATAACTGGACTGCTATTTTTATTTAACAATTTTCTGCCCAATTTTTACCTTAGTCGCGTGATCGCTCTGATCACCCCTAGATCCGCCCCTGCCGCAAACAGAGAAGAGATTTTGTAGGTAAGATGGTGCATCACCATTGATTATTTTAAACATAATTCCAGCCTTAATCTTTTTGCGTCGTAAACAAAGATTGTCTAGGTGCAAATTATTCAAAAGAGAACTAGCGCTTGTATCATAGTGCGACCTCGTAATGACTCTTACTGCTCGGTTCTGTAGTTTCTGTATTTTATTACTGAGAGTTTCTCCAAAACCGTCCCAGACCGAGGAGCAGTAGTCAAAATGAGGTTGTATCAAGGCTTGATAAACCTGAACAGCTGTTCTCGTACTTACAAATGGTCTAATACGTTTTAATGCACCAATGGCTGAAGCAATTTTCTTAGTTATTTTCTCTATATGGGTTGACCAAGAAAGGTGTTTGTCAATATGTACTCCTAAGGATTTAACAGTATCGACTTTGTTGATTTCACTACCATCAAGCTTAATGGTTATACTACCTTGAGTAGCATTGATTCTCTGTCGAGATCCAATTGTCATAAACTCTGTTTTTGCAATATTTAAACTGAGCTTATTTGTAATAAGCCAGCTTTTAAGACGTTCTAATTCAGAATTAATGACACTTTGGAGCTCTTCCAGAGAATCAGCTGCAAAACTTACATTCGTATCGTCTGCAAACATTCTAGGAGTGGCGTGGTGGAGGCAATTTGGCAGGTCGTTAATATAGATAAGGAACAGTAACGGACCCAAATTTCTCCCTTGTGGGATTCCGCACGTTACTGACGTCGAACCTGATAGCCGATCATTAACTTTGCATTTTTGTGTTCTGCCAGTAAGATATGATTCGAACCATTTTAAACTATTATGGTCGATACCATAATGTTCTAATTTCTGTAAAATTATCTGATGATCAATAGTATCAAAGGCTTTTTTCAGATCAATGAAAACAACCTCATTAATTAGACCATTATCTATATTAACAGACCAGCTATTTGTAGCCTCCAGCAACGCTGCTACTGTACTATGCAATGACCGAAATCCAGATTGACAGGTGGTCAACAGATTGTTGTCGTTAAAATATTTATTAAGTTGGTCAAAGATAATTTTCTCAAAATCTTTGAAACCGTTGGAATCACCGATATAGGCCTATAATTGCTCGGATCATGCTTTGCACCGTTGTTATACACTGGCGACACCCTTGCTTCCTTCCTTCCATTCATCTGGAAATATTCCAGTATGAATAGATTTAGTAAATATCTCTGTTAAAGAAGGCGCAATCACATCTGCCGCCATTTTTAACAATTTATTTGGTATTTTATCAAGACCAACAGATTTTTTTTCATCAATCGTTTTCAACAATCTGTGGACTCTATCAATCGTAGGAGTTTGCAGGTTGAACGTTTTATCTGTAGGTGTGAGATAGACCTCTGGGTTATACTCAGAAGCGGGTATTTTAGCTGCAAGATCAATCCCAACATTTGAGAAATGGCTATTAAACGTTTCAGCTATTTCGACAGGTGAAGTTACAACTTGCTCGCCTATTTTAATTTCCGAAATTCTTTTCATTTTCGTACAGTTTCGCGAATTTATTTCTTTAATTAACTGCCATATTTTTTTCATATCTCCTTTATGTTTATCAAGATTTTTGGTAAAGTAAAGTCGCTTTGCTTTTTTGATTTCATTGTTGACCTGATTTCTTGCATGTCTATATTGAGACCATTTTTGTGATTTTTTAGAAGAGATGGCTCTCTTTTTTAAGAAATCACGATTGAAAATTAAATGTCTTGATTCATTGGTTACCCAGGGGGATCGTTTGCTGCTGACTCGCCTGGTCCTAAGTGGTGCATGCCTGTCAATTACATTCATCAATAAATCTTTCCATGTTGCCCACATTACATTTGGGTCTTCATAGTGGTGGACATTTTCCCAAGGTTGTTGTCCCAGTTCGCTTAGAAAACTATCTCTATTAAACGTTTTCATGTTTCTTGTCCCTGTCTGTACATAATGTGCTTTGCGTATAATATAGACAATCGAGTGGTCACTAATTGAAAGATGAATTACACCAGAATCAACAGATGTTGATAATGAGTTTGTTAGGCAGAGGTCAATCATAGTGGTAGATTTCTCGGTAATTCGTGTTAGTTCTTCAATCAACTGATGCAAGCCATAGATATCAAATAATTCGGTTAATGTGCTTTTACATGAGGAGTTAGCCGTCGTTGTGAAATCAACATTTATGTCCCCAAGAAGAAAATATTCTAAATTTTCGGCGTCAAGTGCCCCAATCATTGTTTCGAACTCGGCAAAATGACCTACTGGAGAATCAGGAAGTCTGTACCAAGTGCTTACCAAAATAGATTTTGATCGTGGTTTTGTAATCTCTACGATCAGATTTTCTAGGATTTCTGATTGCAGATCATAACGTATTTTATAGTTTATGTTTTAACGAACATAAAGACAAACTCCACCGCCTTTGCGGCCATTCGCTTTTCGATCTCTCCTAATTATTTCAAATCCTGGTAAACAAACCTCCTGATCACTAATTGTGAGGTCAAGCTTAGTTTCATTGATACATAATATATCAATTTTATTACTACAAATAAATATACGTAATTCATCTATATGTGCTATAAGACTGTTAATGTTTAAGCATGCCATCACCATTCCTCGAAGGAAAGGCGTTGTGGTTATATTAAAATTAGTGGTGTTTAACTTACCACATCCTTCTACTATTTGATCATCATTATCTGTTTGTTGTAGCTCAACATTACTTGACTCCCAAACGGCAATGTTCTAGTCTTTTTTATTATGAATATACTTATTAAAATTACGAGATACGTCCCCACTTTGTTGAGATGAATCCCGCTTCGATTAAGATGATTTGATGTAATATTATGATGTCCAATGAATTTCCAGTGGCGTTCGAGACACATTTCTTTCAAAACTTTGTTAACCTGATTCATGCTGTAAATTGTCTTCTTGTAATAATCTAATTACCGTGGTGAGGCTATATAATTTTTCACTTTGCAATTCGTTTACTTTTGTTCTAAGTTGTTTTATTGTGGATTTAGCTGATTCCAAGTCACTTTGTAAGCGAACATTTTCCCTTCGTAGCGACAGATCACTGTTGCAAGGTACGTCGCAGCATTTATTCAGGGCAGATTTTTTCTGGATCTTGCAAGCTTAGTGGGAATCTACTAATTCCCTTTTTTAGATAACAGATAAATGATTGCGAAGAAAATTCAAGATTTTCTTCACAGTCCAGGTGCAGAGAGTCCAATCGGCTTTATTGTACAATGTCTTTCTAGGCTTTTGTTTATTGGTGATAGGAGAAATGTTTCCCTTCGACAAGCATGGTGGCCAGGGCTGTATAATATAGCGGACCGCGAGACCATTGGTCCCAGCAAATTTTTGAGGTTGGCAGAAAAAAATGGAGGGTAAAACTTAAAAGTCTCAAAAGAAAAAAAAGTAAAGAGATGAAAGAAAGGAAAAACAGAAAGAAAGAAAATAAGAAAAAATGACATAATTGAATAATAAGCTGTAGGCAGTGAACTAGTGATGTTTGCAACATGTAAGTAATACAAGTTTCCAATATACCGGTACAGGCGGCACTCCAGCACCTGATATTATGGTCAAAGACAGGCAGACATCAGTCTAGCAGATGTTAAGACGAAATCCTCTATGCGGTTGTTATAAATGATTTCATCTAGTGTGTTAGCTACTTCTGAAAATACCACTCCAGTTTTAAATGAATAGAAGGCATTTAACAACAACAGTATGTGGATTAAAAAGTCTACGAGTGTGATGATTTCTTACAATGTAGTAAAAAATCTAAGCAATACGTCCCAATACACAACAGCCTTCTGCCCTTTTCATGAACTTTCATCCATTAATTAAGATGATAATCATAACAAATATATTAAAATTATAAGAATCTACAATCTTAAACTACAGACAGTTCCCAGTGGTCACTTTCATCTTTCATTAAAATGTAAATGTTTGTTGTTAAATTAAAATATAAAGAATATTTATTTATTCCGTAGCGCCACGTTGAAATACATCTACCCTGCTGGCAGTAATTTTGGAGCTGAGGAGAAACCACTGTGGGCAAACGAACGACTTTCTATCGAGCATGCGCGAAGATCACGTGATGGGATGTACGTCACTAATTTGACTCATTTCCTGTAGTTTGACAGTTTGTTATCTGTACGTAAACAAGCGTGGCATAGTACTGTTTTATTTGTTGACTGTTAGTTTAATTTAATCGAACAACTTTTTATTCTACATGCAGTTCACAATTTATGTATCGGTTGTAATATCGTTATTGTCAGTACAAAAAATATTTTGAAATCGGTGCCTCACTCTACGGCTACAAATTGTGCATTTGAATTTCTGTTATATCTTTTTAAATTTTTGTATTTATCCGATCAATAAAAAAATTGTTTTTTAATTCGGTCTGCAAACTTTATTTGTGTTACTTAAATGTTGGAGATTGTTTTAAGGTTTTCGATAAATTCCAATTTCCAAAGTTTCCAAATAATATAATAATATAATAACGTTTCCAATTACTGTTGATTTTGACTATTGCAATTTCTGATCGTCGCGACCTCAACCGCTATAAATTTCAACTGATCAAAGATCGTTGCGACGGCGCCACTATTTCTGTATAAGGTTGATTTTTGTTGCAGTGTGTGAATTTATGATTACCCAGTTGAATTGTAGGCTGTTTTCAAGTCATCTTAATGCATAATTTCAAACATTTTATTCAATATTTTGTAAAGTTATAATATTGTGTAAAAGGTAGTATATTTATAGCGTGTTATTACTCGCTGGGGCACTTGTGCCCCTGGCGAGTATAGGTTTCGGCACACATTTTTGGTGGATGTCAGATCGTCGTTGATAACCACAAAATAGAATATTAATGAGCTGCCTATAAAACTCAATTTCTCCTTTTCAAAATGGCGGCCTTTCGTGGAGTGGGCAAAATGTTTCAAACAATTTCGTTAAAATTTTCAACGAATTGTACCTGTTTTGTATAGATTTTGCACCGTCTCTAACGCTGGACAATCGTGCTAGTTTAGTTAACGCATTTTTGTTGGTGTGCACGACTCTGAAAATGCGAAATTTGGATCTTTGAATTCCCGTGCACGATCATAATAAAACTGAATTGGAATTTAAACGAGCCAATTTCAAGGCAAAAGGTTTAAACTTAAACTACACAACGTAGTTTTAATAGATAACTACTTTATGAGAAGCATATTGGGTGT